GACTCCATCCAGCCACCTCCTTCTCTGTCGTCCCCTTCTTCTCTTGCCCTCCATCTTTCCCAGCATCAGGCTCTTCTCCAGTGAGTCCTTCCTTCTCATTAGGTGGCCAAAGTACTTGAGTTTCAACTTCAGGATCTGGCCTTCTAAAGAGCAGTCAGGGTGGATCTCCTCTAGGACTGACCGGTTTGAACGCCTTGCAGTCCAGGGGACTCGCAGGAGTCTTCTCCAGCACCAGAGTTCAAAGGCCTCCATTCTTTGGCACTCAGCCTTTCTTTTGGTCCTATTTTCACAGCCATACATTGCAACTAAGAAAACCATGGACTTGACTAATACAGGTAGTCTGCTATTTATAGCCCTTTGTTTAGTGCAAGGGTTCCCAACCAATCCACACACAAATTAAACTTACTCTGCAACAGTTCTTGCTTTTCTCTTACTTGCTTAGTCATTTAGTAAATGAACTGCATCCTTAAAATGGCTTGGCAGACTATTCCAAGCACCAGTTTAAAAAAAACAACATATCTTAATGTGAAATGAAAGATCCAGCAGGGGTCACTGTGAAATAAAAAAGATTTATCGTAACGTGTTCAAAGAAAACATGAACATCTTGGAATAGTTTTTAATGGAATGTACGCCTAGTAGAATATTTCCCTGCTAGGTTGTGGCTGTGTGCTAGACACAAACCCATAGGAATCTTTATGTCATATTGGTTATTTTGTTAGCATTAATTTGTAATCTCAAAACGTGTTTCCTTTTATTGACCTGTTCTTTTTTTGGGGGGGGGGGATGTGGAGAAGAGCTTCTCTCTTTTTCTCTTCTAGTGGAAAATGAATTTTGGCAATGGTTCTGTTGCTTAATTTGATGCTATTGGCTTTGAAACATGGGCACAGTTTTCCTGATCTTTGCAAGCCACCCAAAGAGTGCACAAAATGGGGGCAAGGCAGCAGGAGGCCAGCTGGTCCTTGCAGGACCATGGAAAGCTCCACCTTACGATCATCTCTCTGGTTAAACATGGACAGAACCCTTTTATCCCTCTCTAGAGCAGATGTCTTCTCTCAGACTCCCGAGATAGCAGCCTTCCAGTATCTGAGGGGCCGCCACAAAGAAGAGGGGGTCAAGTTATTCTCCAAAGCACCAGAGGGCAGGAGAAGAAACAATGGTTGGAAACTGATCAAAGAGAGAAGCAACCTGGAATTAAGGAGAAACTTTCTGACAGTGAGGACAATTAACCAGTGGAACAGCTTGCCACCAGAAATCGTGGGCGCTCCATCACTGGAGATTTTTAAGAAGAGACTAGACATTCACCTGTCTGAGATGGTATAGGTTCTCCTGCTCGAGCAGGGGGCTGGACTAGAAGACCTCCAAGGTCCCTTTCAGCTCTATTCTAGTCTAGTCTAGTCTAGTCTATTTTATTCCATTCCATTCCATTCCATTCCATTCCATTCCATTCCATTCCATTCCATTCTATTCTATTCTATTCTATTCTATTCTATTCTATTCTATTCTATTTTATTCTATTCTATTCTGTATTTCTATTCTATTCTATTCTATTCTATTCTATTCTATTCTATTCTATTCTATTCTATTCTATTCTATTTCCAATATTCTTTTCTATTCTATTCTATTTCCAATATTCTATTCTATTCTATTCTGTATTTCTATTCTATTCTATTCTATTCTATTCTATTCTATTCTATTCTATTCTATTCTAGTTTGGCTTTTATTCCCAAGGCAGGAGTAGAACTCACCATCTCCTGGTGATTGGCCCAAACTCACCCAGCCGGCTTTCATACCTAAGGTGGGATTAGAACTCACCGTCTTCTGGTTTCTAGCGAAAGTTATCCCAAGTGAAAGCAAATATCCCCCCTCCCCCCAGCAGAATGGCAGGCCCCAAAACAAAAGCACACGATTATATATATGCAAGAAAGACAATAAGGATTTGGGGAACCTGGCATGAAGGTTATTGATTAGATTTACTCATCTTGATTGTGTTGCCTCCATAGGAAAAACGCCTCTGCCTATCCAGTGCTATGTAACCGAATCCCTGCCAGTCACTTCTGGGATCAGAACGAACCAAGGCTGTTTGTGTGTGAAGCAGTTCTTGACCCTAATCAGCAATCATTGGATAAGAAGCAAGAATCGTCAGAAAATGCCGTATGTTTTTTTCTCTCTTACCTTCCTTTGAGGTTTTGATCGTTTAGCTCAGGGGTAGGCAACCTCGGCTCTTTTATGAACTCGTGGACTTCAACTCCCAGAATTCCTGAGCCAGCATGGCTCAGCTTGGAAACCTCTCCCTTTCCCCTCAGCGTGGCTGGCTCAGGAATTCTGGGAGTTGAAGTCCACGAGTCATAAAAGAGCCAAGGTCGCCTACCCTTGGTTTAGCTGGTTATTTTCACATTGTATTCAGCTGTTCTTCAGTGAGAGTCTTCAGTTACCTGTTGTAGGACCCTAATGATATTCAAGATCGTTCAGGACCTTCTTCTTCTTCTTCTTCTTCAAAAAAAAAAGCTGATGTTCACAAAAATCTTGTAGCAGCCATCGTTTAAAATCCGATTGTGGGGAGTATATAATAGGACATAGGAACTTTTTATAGGTCACACGTTATATATACATAGGCCTGGATTCCTCCTGTTATTCCTGAGTGCGTTTTTCAGGCCCTGCAAAAGTAATAATTCCTCTGTGCTTGAATGGAATCCATCCCCTCATCTGCTGTAAATGCTTCCGTTGTAACTTTGGCCACTAAGCAAATGGCTGTGAGTCGAGGACTCTCTGTGGAGGAAATTCAGATTGAATTTTCCCAAGGGTTTCTCCGTTGAATGGCAAAGCCTCTGATTCCTATTTGGCAGAGCTGCCCAGTTTTACATTGTTGAACATTGCACACTGTGGTCTATCAAAAGAGAGGAAGCCCTTAGCTCAGTCATCTGCAGCAGGGGCGCCGTCGGTTTCTTAACTGCAACCTCTGCCAGGTGGAAACGAAAAATAAAAACCAAGATATGGCACCGTGAAGCCCAAATCCTCCTCCGTTTTCCCTTCCAGATGGATGTGCTGATTGTATCTTTCTTCAGCACCGAAGAGCATGGCCTTCTGCTCCAAGACAGTTTTCCGTTGCCATCAACGTACCAGTCTCTTCTGGGCATGGAGGTGCCACACTATTACTTTGCCAAAAAGGTGAGTGGCCAGAAGAGTTTTTTTTTTCCCTCTTCCTAAAGCAGACATGTCAAACACAAGGCCCGGGGACCGGATACGGCCCGCGAAGCCATCCTGGAAACAGTGAGGGAACGGCCCCCGCTATCTTGGCCCTGGCCCAGGCCGGCCAGCCGGGAGCCAATGTACAATTTTGTGGTGGCCATCTATGCTGAAACGCATTCAGTCTTAGCTCCACAAGGCCGTCTGGAAACAGCGAGGAACCAGGAGAACCTTGAGCAGCAGCCTTGAGGAAGTGGGGCTGGGCTTGGTGCCACAGGTGCTCAAGGGCCAGGCTGGGCATTTGACCTCTGCTGCCCAGGGCTCTGGGCAGCCCGCACCACCATCCAACCCCCACCCCGCATGGCCTGAGAGGAACAGTGAGGCTCCTCCAGTGGACCATGCCTTGGCGCTTGCCCCAGTCCCACCCCCTTCTGCCAGAGACCCTCAGATCTGTCCTACTCCTGCCCAGGACCCCACAGGCACCCTTGACGCCAACGATGTAGAGCTGGCCACACCCACCCAGTAGGCCACACCCACTCCAGCCACACCCACCCAGTAGGCTGCACCCACCCTGGCCACACCCACCCACCCCCCTGAGGGCAACCACAATGCTGATGCGGCCCTCAATGAAATTGAGTTTGACACCCCTGTCCTAAAGGAAGAAGGATTCTCCCTAGGAGAAATTCGTAGGGGATTTTTGTTGTTGTTGTCGTCGTCATCCTTCGCGGAGGAAGAGAAACCGAATCATCGTAATCGTCATTACTTCAGGTGCTTTAGGCAAAAAAAGAGAAAACGGTGGGAGAAAAAGTTTGCTGTTAACTGTTTGCAGATGTAGTAATGCTCAAAAGCCATGGGAAGAAAACAAATCAATTCAGGCACAATTCAGTTATATTTTAAATGTGCACCATTTAAAGATAGAGATGGAGGAGGAGAGGCAGAGCCTGGGAGCGGAGTCAAGAGAGGAATTAGCCTGGGATCCTTATGTTCCCACAAGCGGCCCAAGTTCAACCCCCCTTGAATTCTGTTGACTCTTAACTAGCACAAATTTATAGTGCTGACTGTTAGTTGATTAGATTCTTGTAAGCTTGAGCAATAAATCAACTTAACTGGAACTTAAGGTAAGGTCCTGATTCTTTGTGTCTGGGAAGAGGAACGTTAACACATTTTTTAAAAAAAGGACAGTGCTGTAAAAAAAAAATCACTTCCCAGGCCATAATTTAAGGATGAGCAGCCCTTTTTTCTGCTGGAGTTGCATTCTTTCAGGAGTAATTTATTGGGGACCCCTATGGGCTAAAGCAAGCAGGAGTGGGGCTATGGTAGGTGAGATCCTTTAAACAACAACAAAAACGATCAGTGTAATTCTGGTTTTACCCAGTTGTAAACCACAGGGTGTGGTTTGTGATTTTCACTCTGTGTTCTGTTGCTGTTTCTTTTTTTTAACGTACATTTTCAAAATATATATTTTTGCTGTTCCTCTCATTTCTGTTTCTTTTTCTTTTGTAATTTCTGCTAACCGATAGTTGTTGTTTTGGAGAGACTCTGTCTATAAACCTTATGTAAGTCATTTTTAACGTGATTTTTCTCTCTATTCATTAGTTTTGTTGGGCCAGGTTTTCCCACTTCCTTGTCCACGTCTATCCTTTGCTATTTTCTAAAAAAAAAATAAAACTTCTGTCGTTTTCTGGGAAAAATGTCCCCCCAAATCTTCACTTCATTTTTAGTGAGACTGTAGTGACGGTGCACGATTTTACCTGAAATGCCTTCCAGTTTAGCATATCTTGAAAACGAAGAGAAGGGCTGATTCCAGTTCTCAACGTGGGCATAAGCGTGTGAAAATGTTTCCACGTTGCTGTTGTGCATTAGGCCCCTATCCTGAGAATGACACAAGCTGTCTTCTCTTTGGTGTCTGCCACTGTCAAGAATTTGAGATGTTCACATGGAAGGGATCAGAACTAGTATCAGCGAGAGCCAGTTAAGGTACCTGGCTAGAAAGTGGGAGATTGTGAGTTCCAGTCCTGCCTTAGGCACAAAGCCAGCTGAGCCAGTTCTTCCCTCTCAACCCCAGGAAGCAGGCAATGGCAAGCCCCTTCTAAAATCTTGCCAAGAAAACTGCAGGGACACGTCCAGGCGGTCGCCGAGAGTCCACACGGATGCTAAGTATCACTCTCATCACACACACAAACACACACACACACATATCAGCATTTTGTCACAAGAATGCAATGATGCGGTGGATGTTTAATCTGCTTCCTTTAGTCTTGATGATGATTATAAATCGGCTAAGCATAGCCCCACATGCTATCTTAGTGCCCTGTACTTCTGAGTACCATTAGCTCATCCTTATCACATAATAAAATAATGGATGACTTAATGGTTGATTCATTTCACTGGAGCCTGCCCTTTCTTCCACGTGTCATGCCGTCTCAGGCATTATTCTAGGCGAGGCCCACCCATTCCCGCTCTTCTGTTTAAGCAGTTCAGAACAACACGATGGGTCTTCAAGTCATAAAGGATTTGTTCAAAATGTTCCGTTGTTAGACATTTAAGATGCAAGAAGCTACTTTATTAAAAGGAAGATGACTCCTGCCCCAAAATGTTAAGACAGGAAAAAGTTGGTTTCTGCTACTATACGCTCAATGCCTTGAAGATAAAAACCTTCCATTTGAAAAGTAAACTATTTGGAAGAAAAACATGGGGAAAAAAAACAATAGTTTGATGGTGGAGGGGAGTTGTATTGAGAAAACGGTTTGAATATCAAGTTGCTGCTTCTTTTGAAATATCAGTGTTGAGTGATAAATATTATTTATTGATCTAGAATGGTTGTTGCTATCACATATAACAGAATATCAGAATTGGAAGAGACCTTGGAGGTCTTCTAGTCTAACCTCCTGGTCAAGCAGGAGACCCTATTCCATTTCAGACAAATGGCTGTCCAGTCTCTTTTTAAAAGCCTCCAGTGATGGAGCATTCACCACTTCTGAAGGCAAACCGTTCCACTGATTAATTGTTCTTACTGTCAGGAAATTTCTCCTTAGTTCTAGGTTGGTTCTCTTCTTGATTAATTTCCATTCATTGTTCCTTTTCCTGTCTTCAGGTGCTTTGGAAAATAGCTTTTCCCCCTCTTCTTTGTAGCCTTTAGATACTGCAACACTGCTATCATGTCACTCTCTAGTCCAGGGGTCCCCAACCCCTGGTCTGTGGACCAGTACCGGGCCGCAGCATGCCAGCAACTGTTCCGCACAAACAAAGAAAGCCCCATCCACAGGATGCAGGCAGCACACAAAACCACACACCCTCCAGTCCGCGGAAAAACCTCTCTCCGCATAACCGGTCCCTGGTGCCCAAAAGATTGGGGACCTCTGTCCTAGCCCTGCTTTTCATTAGACTAGACATGTCCAATTCCTGCAACTGTTTTTCATAATTTTCTCTCTCCCTCCTTCCCTCCCTCTCTCTCTCTCTCTCACACACACACACACGCACACACACATCACAAATATTTTGCTTGCCATGTGTAATTAGTACTTTCTTTTTAGCCGGAAGCTGAAAAAAAGGATGAGGCAGAACCTGGCAGGGTCCCGCTGCATCAGATGGTCGCTAGAAGACCGATGAGAGATTTCATTGGGCTGGAAGAGTGTGACAAGATGACTTGCGAAGCTATGCTTAACTTCAGTTTCTACCTAACCATTGGAGACATGGATGAGGCCTTCAAGTCTATCAAACTCATCAAAAGGTAGAATGGTTTTGGGTTTTCTCTCCTCCCTATCCCCCCCCCCCCTTATTTCTCATTTTCTCTCGTGTGATGCCATGACGGTTGGAGAAAAAAAGAGATTAACGGACCTCAGATTGGTGGTGTTAATTGATCTTAGACTGGCGGTGTTACTGGCGTTGGTATACAAAAGCTGCATTTATTTGCCTTTTATTTCATTGTTTCCGTGCCTTTTTGTGTTTGGCTTGTTTGGAAACCCAATTTTTTTAGTTCCGTCAGGTCAACTAGACAAGACAATCAACTCTACAGGAAGACTAGGTCTATACTGAGATAAGATATTATAATAGAATTTGGCAAGTCCATTTGTGGTTTCCCTCCCATCTTTTCTATATACCAATGAATCAAGGAGATGTTTGCCTGAGCTGCTTCGGAATATGTTTTGCAGATCTTAAAGAATGTTTTGGTTCTCTTTGCCTAGATACTAGGTCTTGTATATTTCTGTTATTCTCCACCCATAGCAAAGTTCTCCTAGGATTGCAAATAGACCTGATACAAGAGGTTTGACTAATGAAAGCTAATTGTTGGGATATTTATTAGATGAGCAGCTAGGTTGTCCAATAATATTCAGCCAAAGGTATCAGAATTTTTAAAATTACAATAGGGGACAGAATAACAGAGTTGGAAGGGACCTTGGAGGTCATCTAGTCCAACCCCCTGCTCAGGCAGGAAACTCTATACCAGTGGTTCTCAACCTGTGGGTCGGGACCCCATTTGGGGTCGATCGACCATTTCATGGGGGTCGCCAAGCAAAGCTGTCCGCCATTTTTTTTGTTCGGCATTTTTTTTGTCTGCCATTTTTTTTCTCCCCCTTTTCCGGCGGGTGCCTTACCTCCCTTGGGCTGGGCCAGCTGGTGGTCGGCCTGCTCTGTCTCTGCCAGTTGCCAGCTACGCCTCGGCCGGCACAGGGGGCGGAACCACGCATGTGCGGCGCTCCCGGGCAGGGAAAGTCCTCGACTTACAACCGGTTGGGTAGTCCTCGACTTACGACCGGTTTAGTCCTCGACTTATGACCGGTTTAGTCCTCGACTTACGACCGGTTGGGGTCACGGCATTAAAAAGGTTGAGAACCACTGCTCTATACCATTTCGGACAAATGGCTGTCCAGTCTCTTCTTAAAAACCTTCAGTGTTGGAGCATTCACAACTTCTGGAGGCAGGTTGTTCCACTGGTTGTTCTCGCTGTCAGGAAGTTTCTCCTTAGTTCTAGGTTGCTTCTCTTCTTGGTTAGTTTCCATCCGTTGCTTGTTCTGCCTTCAGGTACTTTGGAAAATAGATTGATCCAACCTACTGCCTGATCATCAAGCTTCTTATAGCTTGAAATTCATGTCCTTATGTACCAATTTCCATTCACCCTGAAAAGCCATGTAACTAATTTCTAAAGATAGCCTATTAATTCTCCCCCCCCCTCATGAGTTTCCTGGAGTAGGAGCTAGGCAAGTCATTTCTGCGGCAACCCCCAAAATATATAAATATAAAACCTCCTTACCTTTTGCCTTTTTTATTCTTTAAAGGCAAATCTACCATTTCAACTTCATTACTAAGTCTAAGACAAACACAGGGAATTCAACTCTTACAGTGGAATCGGGGGGGCAGAACCATTTGATTTTAATTTCACATTATAATGATGGTTATTGCAATATTAGCAGAAATAATACATCTTAAATATTCTAGTATTTAAAGTCTTTTTGTAAATGGCAGTTAATAAGAGCACATTTTATGTTCAGCAGCTATAGAAATTTCCTAGAAAGCAAGGCAGGTAAGTTGAAATGAAGTCCACTTTTTGATTAAAAGATCGGTTGGTTTAGTAGAGAATGTGCTTTGAAGTGGGATGTAAACTCTAGAACATAAGTACACTGTGATTTGAATTTTCTTATCCTAATTTGCATGTTTTATAGAATTGAACTTAAGAAAATTTATATCAACATTAAGGTGCCCAAAGGATTATATCGATAGCTGTTTTACCTATAATTTCAATCGTAATTGTCCACATCCATTGTCTAGGTATTTTCTACAATACATAGTGCGAAAGATGTCAAAGTACTTCGTAAATGTTGCACATATTCTTATATTACTTTTCGTCTAATAGCAGGTTTTTTGTCCTCTAAACAGTTGAGTAACCTAAGGAGGAAAAATGCAATTGTTACACATCCAGAATAGAAATAATTCCTCAAGAACTGCAGGTGTCATATAAAGTTTAAGCTTCTGGGTTTGAATTGTTTAGGTTAGGTAGCTTATTAAAGCTTAGGTACAGAGTGATATACCTGTTTAATGTCTTTT